AAAACAAAAAATCACCAAAAATTAACGAAGACTCAGAACAAACCCAAATTAAGTTTGCATAGGTTTCACAAGGTACACTACCGATTCCAAGCATTTAAAACAGGTTTCAAACATTTTAAGAGACTTAAAATGAGTGAAAACGGACATCGTTAAGGGAAAATCCCCCACAGAGAACATCGTTAAACAATGTGGAAAATTCCTCCAAGTAACACATCGTTAAGTGAATTCTTCGTTAAACGAAGCAATCGCTAAGCGAGGCACCACTGTATCCTCTTTCCAGATTCATCTGGTGATTGCAGCATACCTCTCTCTCTCACACACACACACACATATACACAGTTAAGCACTTCAAAAAGTCTCACACTCAAACTTCTGTAGTAATTCTTGTGCCTTCAGCTATAATGAAACCAAAGTTCAGCTTCCTGCCTAGTGTCGAGAGTCTCCTACCTGTTTTAGTGATACGTTTTCAGGCCCTTATTTTTAACTGGTCTCTGTCTCATACAGTATTTGTCTGTCCATAAGGATATTTACCACTGCATATGTGCCAAAAGTCAGGTTTTTAGGTGCCTAGACCAGTCAGAACATGTATCCTTTAACAGAGGGGAATGCAAATGCCCCATGATGATGCTTTTGTGGTATTCTGAAGTGCCTTGGACTCTAAAGGTACCAAAAGTCAGAGGTATTACTCATCAGGAAGTGACTTCTGCTGTATGTGTGAATTAGACACTTTTTAATTAAGAAAACATGCCCCAATTGCCTTCTTGCTCTTTGTAAAATACTTGTTGTTTGCGAGGTTCAGTTATGAGTGATTCACCTGTTACAAAGCAAGCTTATCCTATTTGCTCCATACACACACACACACACACACACACCATCGTTTGCAGCTAAAAAGTATGGGAAAAGGTACATAAGTGGTAGCTTTTCTCCCAGTGGATTTGCAGACTTGGCTTCCAGTGGACAGTTTGCAACATTTACAGCTGCAAACATTGCTGCACATGTGCCCATATGGTCATTATGAATCAGGCTTTAAACTCATCAGTGTTTTAGTATCATTCAAACAGACCTCTGGGGTAAAACAGAGAGTCAGATTACATGTTACATGAAAGATACAGCTAGCAATAGCATTCAGTTGTCCTTGTTCAAAATAAAGCATCAGTGGCATAATCTGGATTGGGAAGCTAGTGTATGAAAAAGGGGGTTATAAGCATACAATAGCATCCAGTTGTTCTTGTTCAAAATAAAGCATCAGTGGTATAATCTGGATTGGGAACCTAGTGTATGAAAAAGGGGGTTATAAGCATTTGTCCCCCCCCCCGGCAGTACCAGCCCACATTGGGGTTGCTTGCCCAATCCAGACCAGAATCACAGTCTTCCCTCCCTACTAAGTTCCTGGACTGCACTAATTCCACCATGTATTTTTTTAAGAAGGAAAAGAAAACTGGCAGCTAAGGTAATGTTTACTTTAAGCCCAAAGAACCTCCTTGGCAGGCATTATCGGAATGCATTGTCTGCTTTTTTCATTGATTCCTTTTCTTTGCAAGACATCTCTTTAGGCTGGATAGATGTACATTTGTGCTGAGATATTTAGATTTGGAACTTAAAATAAATACATTTCAATTGTTTGTTTGCCTTTTTCTTTCCCCTGTTCAAAAGAAGTATGCATTATTTAGAGCAGTGGCTCTCAAACATTTTGGACTCATAGCTCCCTTGATTTACTGACCACTGATCGTGGGTTCCCTTGCTTGGAGAGGCCATCAGAGCTATCACTGCCACCAGGGGCAGGATATTGATACTCCTCCTGAGCCATTCCATCTCTTAGACACACACACACACCCGAATATCCCAGAGGGCCCACCTTCTTCAAGGAAGCTCACATAGTACACAGGAAACTCACAAGACCACCCAGCAAGTTCCTCCATCAGGGACTATAGAGATGTAGTTAGGTAGAGGCAGGCACGTGGCCTTCATTTCCAGTTCCTGTTTGACATATAGCTGTGAACAGCTGCTCTACAGACTTCATAGCTCTGTGTTCTGCCCCTTTTACCATGGCACCCCTGGCTCGGATCCCAGGTGCCCCACAAAGCTGTAGCACATAGTTTGAGAACCCCTGACATAGGGAATGGCATTTGGGAAAACAGAACAATAATGTCATGGAAGAGTACATGATAGATACTAAAATATCCTTCAAAGCCAGTTATGCTTTCATATTCATATATCTTAATATTGTGCACTCTAATGTGGGAACGTTAAACCCCTCAAGGAGCCATAAATTTTGAGAAATGTTGAGAATCTGAGCATTTCATAACAGGATTTAATGCAAACCTCAGGTTAAAATGAGTTTTAAAATCTTATTTTAAATATAATGCATAGCTAGTGTCATAGCTATTTTTCCTGCAGTGCATCAGATAACGTGTCTTCTTCCTGAAATAGTGTAGTTGTTTATGTGGGCCAGGATCCAAAATCTATTTTAGGCACACCTAAAGTGCTAACATGCATTGGATTATGGAGAAAGCCAGAGAGTTCCAGAAAAACATCTACTTCTGCTTCATCGACTCCAAAAAAGCCTTTGACTGTGTGGACCACAACAAACTATGGCAAGTCCTTAAAGAAATGAGAGTGCCTGACCACCTTATCTATCTCCTGAAAAATCCATATGTGAGACCAGAAGCAACAGAACTGGATATGGAAACACTGATTGGTTCAACATTGGGAAATGAGTTTGACAAGGCAGCATATTGTCTCCCTGCTTATTTAACTTATATGCAGAATATATCATGTGAAAGGCAGGACTAGATGAATTCCAAGACGGAATTAAGATTGCCGAAAGAAATATCAATAACCTTGGATATGCAGATGATACCACTTTGATGGCAGAAAGTGAGGAGGAAGCTGTTGTTTAGTCATGCCCGAATCTTTGTGACCCCATGGACCAGCTTGTAATTCTGGGAGTTCTTGGTCCACATACTGCTAAAGCCTACCTTGTAGGATTTTGAGCACGGGAAATGAGTGCAATCGTACGGCAGTTGGAGCATTCTTTGGCACTGCCCTTCTTTGGGATTGGGGAAGTTTCCTTTTCTACAGTTGCAGAGGCCTGATGCAACAATTATGGTAAGGGGGTATCAGCAGGGGCGGGGTTTAAGGTAGGGAGAGGAAGGGGTGGGGGTATTGTTGGGGTGGGTGGCTGCCTATCGGCCTGCTGATCGGCTGATCGGCTGGCCAGAAGCAGAATGGAAGAGCCATAGGACTGCTTTTTTTTCTTTGTATGGGGACGAATAAAAATGGGGAAATATTTGTCAAGCCGTATTCATTGGGACTTAAAATGTAATGAATACAGATCGACAAATATATGATGAATTGGCTATATTCTTCGAAAAACCTGATCTGTTTTTATATTCATTCCCATCTCTAATTAATGGCCATGGTTTGTATTATTTTTATGTTACTGCATGACTTTTAAATGTTTTCTATATACCATTTTGGAAGCTTTGCTAAAGGTATTCTAGAAATCATGTGAATAAAAGAGAGCAGCTCCAGACATGCCCTAAGGCAAACAAGTCAGCACTATTAACCTGTATAATCTGCGGTATACTTTCCCTCTCTTCTGAGAAAGTACTCTCTCCTTTACGCACTCCCCCATTACTAATTAAAGCACTTTATAATCGCTGTCTCGGGATAGATGTTGGCTATGCGCCAACAGCTCTATAGACACACTAGTAAGAAGTTCCACATTTCAAAAATTTCTTCTGTGTTCTCCCCCACCTCTCACACACATCCATTTTGTTAAAGCAGGACTGAGAAATAACAGACAGCTTTGGAAAATGTTTCTATTTTTATTGTTATCAATAGTTTATAGTTTAGGGGAAGAAGCCTATAGTGACGGAGGGGGGGATATATAACATATGATCACAGGCCTCTAACTTTTTTTTTTAAAGTGAGATTCTTGGCAGTACTTTGAGTTTCTTGGCAGTACTGAACACCTAGTTCAATAATGGCAATTCTAACAGTTAATCTCCATGCAGCCGTTTTCTCATCTATCCAGATCAAGTGGTTTCCAACTTTTTGAGCATCATGCTTTTTTGTGATGTTTGAGAAGCCCTGACATCCCCCTATCTCTTCTTTACTATAACCCAACACTATTTTAACACATATCAGAACAAACATACAGTGAAAAAATCTTTAATGTAAACAAAAGAAACACACCACATAATTTTTTAAAATTAGTATAAACCTCTTTTTCTGAGAAATTCCTCAAATTTAAGAACAATATCACAAAAATTGACTTAATCTGGTAAAAAATGTTTTTGCTTTTATGAAAATGTCAGTGTCTCTCACACACACTTGAGATGTAGTTCTAAAAAAAGAACTCCAGGCCCCATGGATCTTATTTGGGAATATACAGTAAAAGTTGCACAGACAAATGCTATTCTAATGAAAGTGAGAGAGTGAAGTATCTTTTTCTGACTAATCCAGTTTCCATTAATTAAATGGAAATTAAA